CTTTTCTGAATAAAATGAAACCAGTCCCATCTATCCAGAAGTAAGTCATGAGTAAGAATGGGTACACATCCTCATTTTCACAGTTGTAAATCATAATCAGAGAACTGAAGTTTTAGAAAACTGTCAAGTATTGTTAATATAATTTTTCTCTCCAGATTTCTTGAAGATAGTGGTATCTCACTTGATGCATTCACAACATCCAACATCAAGAGATCAAACACAGTCATCCTTGTGAAGAATCTTCCCGCAAAGACCACTGCCCAGGAACTGTCACAGCTTTTCTGTAGATATGGAGAGCTTGGAAGAGTTGTGCTACCTCCAGCAGGTGTTACAGGTACTGCTTGTGTTTTTTTTTCTTGTTGCAGTTCATAAGGATTTGCATCTTTTAAACAAGTTGCCATAACTTAATGTGAATCAGAAGTGGACAGGCATTGCTTTTGGCATTATCAAACTTTTATGGGAAAAAAGTAATCTATGGGGAAATGAATGAGAGAATCTGTTGAGAGAGGTTATGATGTTTCATTATGAAAATGTATTTAACCTCTTGGATCTAGCTGATGAGACCATCATATCTTGAAAAAATATATCTTAAGGGCTAGATAATCTGAACATGCAGTCATAGAAGAAGCTGAGGGCTGGGGTGATAGAAACATATTGGTCACTTGTAGAATATTTTATGGAATAATAGTATTGTTAACATGAAATCAGTAAAGATATTTATTATTAAAAGACTTCTTTTTTTGTTTTGATTTTTTAAAAATAGTTTTCCTTATCTCTATTTTAACAGTATATTTTTTTATCCCACTTTTTCCCCTCATCTTGTAGGTGTCGTAGAATACTTAGATCCAAGTGAAGCAAGGAAGGGCTTCAAGAACCTTGCCTACTCCAAGTTCAAATACTTGCCACTGTATTTGGAATGGGCACCCCTAAATGTGTTCAAGTCAGAGTTCAGTGGCGTAGCCATTAAACCTACCAGTAATGACACAACTTCCACAGGTGAGAAGAAGGATTGTTCTGAATGCCTGTTATCTGCTGATGGTGTTAGAAATGTTCATGGATCATATATAGGAATTGAAGTGGAAGTTTGGCTCCAAATTTTAATGTTATTATGTTGTAATATTAATTTTAGGGAACCATACTGTAGCAATCTCAGAAATGTAGTGAACTCCTGTGCTCAAAGTTGTCTCCTTGCCATTAATCCCCAGAGTGTAGATTAAAAAAAAAAAAAAAAAATCACCCATCAGCAAGGGGTTAAAGATTATTGTCTTGCTTTTTTTTATGTGTATCAGTAATACAGATTTCTTAACCCCAATGATCTGAGATGACATGACCTTCATGTCACAAAAAAATTTGGCTTTAGGGGCAGGTGAGGTGAAAATACCATCACGAGAAAATATAGCTAAGGGTCGGGTGATGTTAACTTGTCATTATAAGAATTTTGATTGGGGTGATGGTAATGAATTGCCATGGGTCCACAAAGCCCTTGGAGGGTGATTGGACTCAATGGGCATTTAAGAAGGGGCTTTTGCATTATTTCCATTGATAAACAAGTGTGGAATGTGCCATGACTGGAGAAGTGCTTCAGGGGGATGCTCTTTCCATAGTCATGATGTAATTCTTGCATTGAGTTATGGACTACCTAGAGCCTTATTACCATTTAGATAAAGCAAATCAAATGTCAGATATAAATATTGGAAATGGCAAATTGCAGAAAAAGAGAAAATATCAAGGTAAAAGAAAGGCAGTGGATGTTTTATTTACAGTCTTAAATGAAATGCCAAGAAACTGCTTAAGTATTTTTTTCTGTTACCTTTTCCTTTATTCCTCCATTTTTAAATTTCCACATAAAATATGTAAATATAAATGGGAATAATATTTTTAAAAAATCTAACAGTTTGCAGACTTTGTCACTTTTGTATCTGTTCATGAGCTCATGGAAATTACCAATTTTGATAGGGAGCAAAACTGTCATTCTGAGAAGAATGTGATTGAATTGTGTTAATCCAATCACTATGAATTTATGTACTGTCTCCTGTGTTTTTTTTGCAAATTTTGTTACACACAGATGGCTCCACATGTTCTGTGACAGCAAAGAGTCTATCAGTAGGCCCTAGTATCTGCTCCGGATTTCCCTGTTCCTTGTCATTGCTGGAAAATGTGTTTTTCTTTCTATAGCAATTGATATCAATTTTGTTATTATTTTTATTGATATTATGATTATTGAATTGCTATTAAAATCTTATTAACATTAAAGACAATGAAATAACACAAAAGAAACTTTTCCAAAAATCAAGAAAAAGGTTAAACAGGTGAGAGAGGTAGGACTTATAACTGACTCCTTGGTTACTAAGCAGTTGCAGAGCCATCTATGTGTAAATACAATAAATGAACTTATATTACAGTGGGCATGGCATGTATTTTTTCCAAATATGCCAATTGTATAGATTTGTTTTAGTCATTTATTTTTAACATTTATATATATACAATTTTTTTTTTTTTTTTTTTTTTTTTTTTTTTTTTTTTTTTTTTTTTCAAAGTAAGTTGTAGTGTGTTTCCAAAGCAGCTACAAATACCTAATCATACTTTTACTGAACATCAGTATGTTACCAAAGATTGAGAGTATATTTGATGTTTGCAGCTTACACTTGATAGATATCAGTAAGCAACCTTTGGCCCCTGCAGTGTTACATAAACACCTATGGCCTCTTTTCACTTACATGATGACTATACTGCTACCTCCACAATCACATAATGACCACTTTAGCCCCTCCTTTCCAAAACAAAGGCCTCTCTGGTCCCTCCCCTCTCACATAAAGACCATTCTTTGTCCTTTCCACCCTTAAACAAAAACCCCTCCTTAGCCTATCCACACTCTCACAAAGACCACTCTTTGCCTCCCCTTCATTCACGTAATGACCTTTCCTTGACCCCTGCACTCTCACCAAAAGACCACTCTTTTTCCCTTTCATTCTCACACAGAGACCTCTCTGGTCCATCTTCTCTCACACAAAGGTCACTCTTTGGTCCTCCCATGTCACACAAAGACCTTTGGCTTTCCAGCTTTGTGTTATTCTGTATAAGCTGCCATGGCCCCATATGTTGTGGAGCATAAAAAGCATGCTATAAAGTTGGTCTGTTCCCTTTTTCAGAGAGAGACAGTGAAGATACAGAGGGGAAGAGCCATGCTCAACCTGAAGGTCAGCCTGAACCAGACACAACCATATTTGTCAAGAATCTAGACTTTGGTACAAATGAAGATGTCTTGAAGGAGGTTAGTTAAGTTTTCTTAGTTTTATTGCCTGATCATTTGTGAAAGTAATAGTGGCTGATACACTATTACCTCTAAATCCACAGTTTTACTACTCAGAGGCAACTTTAGTTTCCTTGCCACTTCTGGTGTCTGGTTTGTCATATTGCTTACTTTAGTGGCCTCTGACTAATTATACAGCCGATTCCCTCTGTAATCTATTAGGTTATTTTACCCCATTATTCTTGTAATAATGACATATAGGTAGCATGGATTTGTAGTAGATGGATGGCAGCTACTACCTGAACTGGTCTGTGTTTCTTTAGGGAGTGATTGTGTGTGTGTGAATTCCCACTGGGATGACTGGGTGTTATAGGTGAAGTGGAGATCAATGGGGGAGCTGGGCGGCTCCCCAGTTGGCAAAGGACTGGGCATTCCTGAGTTACTGCTGCTGTTGTCATGTTTGTCTGGAGGATCGAGGAATGCTGATCTTGATTCCAGAATCTGCGGCTTAAGTACATTGGTGTTGTGTATGCACATAGGGTACAAGGGAAGACCATGGTCCAATGAGAAAGCCGAAAGTTGTCCGTGTGAGTCAATCAGGTTTCTGCATTGAGTTGAGAGAAGCGCCCACTGGTGAGAGTGCGAGGACATGGCTGTGGACCTGCTGTAACCCAACCTGGGAAGTATGCTGAACTTCAGGTTGCAGGATCATGCTGCTACAGGTACTCCCCCTCTAGAGAGTGAGCTAAGCGGGTGAACAAAATACCATGACATATCACTCCGTGGGTCACCAGTGTAGTAGGTGTATGGCATTTACTACTTGAACTGGTCTATAGCTCTCTAGGGAGTGATTGTGTGGGTGTGAGTTCCCAGGTGGCTCCCCAGTTGGTGAAGGACTGGGCAGTCCTGAGCTGCTGCTGTTGTGTTTGCCTGGAGGAGCGGGGAATTCTGATCTCGATTCCAGAATCTGTGGCTTAAGTACACTAGCGCTGTGTAAGTGCACAGGGAATGAGGGGAGACTGTGGTCCAATGAGAGGCCTGAGAGGCATCATTGTCACCCAGTCAGGTCCCTGCAGTGAGTTGAGAGGAGCACCTGCTGATGAGAGTGCGAGGACATGGCTGTGGACCTGGGAAGCATGTTGAACTTCAAGTCGTGGGGGTCATACTGCTACAGATTGGAATTGGTCTGGTGTGATGGAAATGGAAAGTGGGCATGATGTGAAGTCAGGTTTAGACTGATAAGAATGAATCATCTCAGTGACTTTGGTCACATCAAATTGTAGTCCTCACATCCACACTGCTTGTGGTATCCATTTTTACAGTGTCTGTTTCCTTACTGCAAAAATATAGAGGTTTTCCTCTATAACTACCAGGTAGAGCTGCTCTCTTGTGCATTTAGTAAGATGCCATTAAATTTGGTAGTACCAGTTGTAATAGAGCTAGTTATTGTCTGTAGGTGGAGTAGGTTTATATTGTCTTCTAAAATGGAAAACATGTATAGCATGGATTGGAGCTGGTCAGAGTCTACAGGTGGAATTGGAGTAGAATGCTGGTCAGGCTTAGTTTTATGTGGTCAGGTCACTTTGGCTTCTGCCCCAGGTTCAAAGGATCCGCTGCCAGATAGGAGGCAAGTTTGGTAGTTTGGTGTGGGTATGCTCTTGGATAAAGAGGATACACACTTAAACCACAATTGAAAACTTCCAAAGTACAAGGTGTTCATAGGGCTGCTAGGTATTCTTACCACCTGTGGTATGCCAGAAAAGACAGTTTAATAAAATACCTAAATGTATAATTGTATGTATTAGAAATGGGCTACCACAGTATATTTTAGTTTTATTTAAGTTTTCAAACATATGAGGTCTACTTTGTCATGACATCATATACATGCAGAACAAAACCTACAATGCAACTTCCATCTTTTGCTTTATTTTCCACTAACTCTATGCAAGTGTTTTTCTTTTAAGTAAAATTGTATGCCTCTGTCTTCAGTATAAAAACTGTTGAATTGTATTTATTTATAGTTATATGCATCTTCCCTACATGATAGTATTATTAATAAAAAATAAAATTAAACTATTATCATTATGAAATACATGTTTATGGAATTTCTCTTTGTCTTTAATATATTACTTTCCTACTGGAAAGTATTTATATTTGATTCTTTATTCTAATAAGTAAACAAAACACTATTCCAACAGTGTTTTGTGTTCTATTTGTAACATTACCTCAGTTTCAAATCTCTCTCTCTCTCTCTCTCTCTCTCTCTCTCTCTCTCTCTCTCTCTCTCTCTCTCTCTCTCTCTCTCTCTCTCTCTCTCTCTCTCTCTCCTCTCTCCCTCTCTCCCTCTCTCCCTCTCTCCCCTCTCTCCCCTCTCTCTCCCCTCTCTCCTCCCTCTCTCTCCCCTCTCTCTCCCCTCTCTCCCCTCTCTCTCCCCTCTCTCTCCCTCTCTCCCCTCTCTCTCCCTCCCTCTCCCTCTCCCTCTCCCTCTCCCTCTCCCTCCCTCTCCCTCCCTCTCCCTCTCCCTCTCCCTCTCCCTCTCCCTCTCTCTCTCTCTCTCTCTCTCTCTCTCTCTCTCTCTCTCTCTCTCTCTCTCTCTCTCTCTCTCTCTCTCTCTGCCTCCCCTCCCTCCCTCTCTCCCCTCTCTCTCCCTCTCTCCCCTCTCTCCCCCTCTCTCCCCTCTCTCTCCCTCTCTCTCTCTCTCTCTCTCTCTCTCTCTCTCTCTCCCTCTCTCTCTCCCTCTCTACTTTAGATGTTTCTCATGAGGATCTTTATTTCAGTATTTTGAGAAGATTGGTCAAGTGCACTCTGTAGTGATCGCCAAACGAAATGGACTCTCTCAAGGCTATGGGTTTGTACAGTTCATGAAGAGGTCAGATGCACAGAAATCCATCAGAAATATGCAGAACTCCGTACTAGAAGGTCACACCATAGAGATCAAGTTATCGGAGAAAACATTAGCGTATGTATTGCAGACACATGCTTGTTATGTTAATTTTCATTATTTAAAGAGTCCATATATTTGTAAATGATTGATTGATTGATATTGATTGTTTGTATTCATTCTGTTATTATTAAAAGTTTATAAGTATGAAGATGCTTAGAGATAATGTAAATATTTATGTTTAGATTTTTTTTTTCTTAAAATGTTAAGCTAGAAAACTGTGAATAAGATGAAGAGTAAAGAGTAAAATATTTTTATTGTTTTGACATAAATCTTTAAAATAACATTTTTAGGAAAAAGTAAGCAAAATAAGAAATAAAAAGCTATAAGGGAAGTAGTATGAACAAAAGTTCTTGTAAGAGTGTAAAAGAATCTGTTTCCTCTTAATTTATAAAGGACATTAAATCTTTCAAGTAAACTAGTCCACCCTCTAGGCTAAGGTTTGATTTGCTCTGCTAATCTCTGCTAATTATTGTCATACCTGAGCTGTACAACAAGCAACATTCTCCACCTTGCCTTTGCAGTGTGATGCCCAAGAGCAGACGTATGATTCAGAAAGCAGGGGAGCAAACGTCATCCAAGATTCTGGTCAAAAACATTCCCTTCCAGGCCACTCAGAAGGAAGTGCGACAACTCTTTGCGTAAGTATATAGTCTTTCTTCAGCCTCTGTGTGTGTGTGTGTGTGTGTGTGTGTGTGCACATGCTTGTGTGGATGTGCGCATGTGTATGTGAGCGCATGCGCACGCGCACTTTGATACACACACTCACAAATATACATGTACATGTACATTGCATATATACATTGAGCACACACACAGACACGTATAATATGTAATATATTAATATATATAATACATCAGGCCCTATCTAGTACTATTCCCAAGCAGAGTTCATGGCCAAGACAGAAATAGGCAATAAGCACATCCCAAAGGAATTATGTTTGCTGAGTTTTCCACAATCGTTGTTAGGGAATGTGAGGAACATCTGCTGTGTCCAGTAAGGGCTTTGAAATGGTACCGGCACAGGCCATCTTCCACTACAAGACCTAGTTCACATTCAAATGAAAATCATTAAAATCATTGCAAAAGGGATTTAGAAAACACAGAAATAGGATAGCAGAGATGGAATATACTGGACCTCAGACCATATTGGTGTAGAGGTTAATTCTGTGCTTTACTACTGACCTTTATTTCACATATTGTGCATTTGCTAACTCATAGCCTACAGATGACATGGGGTTATGTCGTGGCTGACTTGGTTGTGGCACTGGGGGATGTGTTATTCATGTCATGGCTTACTTGGATGCAGTTCTGGGCATGTATTACATCTTATCCTGTTTTTTATATGGATTCTTAATGCCTACACCACATACCCTGGGGCATTGCTTGAAGTAGAATGGGATGTATAATACTAAGATTGGCCATTGTTTTGTATAAATGGCAAATTTTAGGCTGACGTTGAAGATGCCACGCACTGAAGCATGATTCTCTCTTGCTGCTGATATGAACCTGTAAGTAACCTTCACTCCTTATTTATATCTGTCTCCTTATGTCGGTTCCTCACATTGTCTTTTGGTGCTCTGCCAGTTTGACTGTTTGGAAATAGGACACAAATAAGGGAAGTACAGAAGCCATGGGGGCAGCAGCCTTGTAATCACTGCATACAATCTTGTATTTCATGAAAATAAGATTTGCAAAAATTTGTGATTGTCTTTCAATAAGACCTCATTCAATCTTGTACATAAAGTGGACTCTAATGTACATAGGTTACTACAAGTTCAGTCTAGCAACTAAAATGCATATCATGCATCAGTGAATATGTAAAAACCTTAAAATCATGTTTTGTTGGTGTGGTATAGCGAGTGATATGCAACGGCTGCCTCTGAAAAGGGCCCCAGAGGCAAGCCCTGTCAGCCGCACAAACTCCCCGAAATGGAGGCCAATTCAACCCCATTTTCTCCTGGGGGCATTGGCCACACTTACCTCAGCTATTCTTATCTTCACACACAAAAAAAGAAAAGTTACATTTTTGGATAAGTTGATTTGAGAGTGTGGAAACAGCAAGTTCTCATGTAAAAGGTTTTATGTGTACTACTATATCTATTTTAAGAGACTAAATATTTTATGAGGTGACCACAATTTTTACAAGTTATATTCTTTTATTATATTTTTATTGCTGAATATGATGTGAAGCTAAAATTTGCCAGAAGAGGCATAGCCACTTTTCAGCATGTCATGAGTTTCTAAATGCAGCAAAACAAAAATAAAGAGTTACAAAGTCACAGAGACCACACACAAATGGTAACATTTCTACAAAAAATTACAAATACATGATATTTGTGTGGAGACTACTTCTTATAGCAAGCTTCTCTTTTCTTTTGCTCAAAAAACAAACTCTCAAAGTTGTTTCAGTTTGTATTCAAACATATTCTGTATTTTCAGTACTTTCGGTGAGCTTAAATTTGTGCGTCTGCCAAGCAAGATGAACAGCCAGGAACATCGAGGATTTGGCTTTGTCGAGTTTGTCACGAGAGAAGATGCCAAGGTAAGTCCGCATTTTATATTCTGTGGTAATTGTGACTATTTGTGCATGTGTGTTTGAGTATCTGAGCTGAGCACCTAACAGAAGACTGTTAGTTACTGTTATTGCAAATTTACTAATCACATGTTAGTGGTGTATTCATTCGTGAATTCTCATGAGGCTGACCTGAACGGGAATATGACTCAAGTCTTAAGAATTTCTACTTGATTAGTACAAATAAAGACATTCTTAAACACATCATTATGGAAAGTAGTCATTTTCTTTAATTGTTTTCACAATTACCCCCCTCTCCTTCCCCCACTCCCCCTCCCTCTGCACCTCCTTCCCTCTTCCTACTTCCCACCTGCCTCTCCCTCCCTTCCTGCCCTGCTTCCTCCTACCTCCCTCTCACTCTTTCTACACAAAATATATATGTTAATGTTTCACTGAATTCTCATTTTCTTTAATTTCATTTTCTACAGAAAGCATTTGAGGCTCTGAAGCTAAGTACCCATTTGTACGATAGACGTTTGGTACTGGAATGGGCCAAAGATGACGAGTCTGTGGAGGAACTCAGGAAAAGAACAGCAGAAAAGTTCTTAGCTTCAGGTGGGCAGTGTTTTGGGATTCTGGTTAGCCAGTTGGTTGCCTCTTACTCTTTCAGATGAATTATCAGATGTTTGTCTTTTGTATTATGAATTTCTTATTATACTTTTCATCTGTAAAACATCACGGAAAAAGTTATTTTGTGTCAGATTTTATTATTTTGTAATGAAATAATTCCTATTCAGACACTATTGCAACTGAAGAGACATTAATAGGAAATCAGTGTTGAAGAGAATGAAATGCACATTTAGTTTTTAAAAAGTGCCCTAATTGTCATGGTTTTATATAACTGATTTAAAGCAGTTGGAGATGACAGAAATATGTATTGAAGTAGACACAAAAAAAAGCTTCACTGTGCACCACTTCATCAAAAATTTACATATCTTTGTGTATCTGTAATATACAATGAATTATTTAATTTAGATACCAAAGTTTTTTTTAATGTATAAGTTTATATTATATAATTTCTATAAATATATGTACTTGTTTCTTCTTTGACTTATGTATATTTTGTTGTACAGGACCAGCAAGGAAGAGGACAAAAGTGGTGATGGATCCGGCAGCGGCACATGAAAACTCGGATGAAGATTAGGCATTTATATCGTAATAAAATTTGTCAGCAATGGCATGAGATATATCCAAATTGTATATTATTTATGGAATAAATATATGCAGTCATCAA